TTCAAGCCCTGACCCCTAGCTCCGAGCCCAGCCCCTGTGAGCCGGACACCCCCCTGACCCCATCTCCCCACAGCCCTGAGCCCAGCCCCTGTGAGCCGGACACCCCCCTGACCCCATCTCCCCACAGCCCTGAGTCCAGCCCCTGAGAGCCGGGCACCCCCCAACCCAGAGCCCAGCCCTGGGCAACAGCAGCACCACCCCCAGGCAGCGACAGCCCATTGGCACCAACCATCACCATCACCATCACCCAGCAACAGCCCATTATGTAATTGCAAATGTACACATACCATTAAAGCATTTAATGTTTTTAAATAATGTATTTAGTGTATTTTCAAATTATTACAAATTAATTTTTGAATGTATTTCACTAGTTATTATTTACATTTCCAAATACATGTTACTATAGTATTGCAACTTTTTTTTATGGAAGGGGGCCCCCGAAATTGCTTTGCCCCAGGCCCCCTGAATCCTCTGGGCGGCCCTGCAAGAACTTGCCATTGTCAGTTTTATCAGTCCAATTCTGTTTTTCAGAAGTAGTGAACACCCACAACTCCAGTAAAAGTCAATTAGAGCTGTAGATGCACAGCACCTCTGAAAATTAAATCCATTATGTGCATGAATCTGACAGGATTCAGTTACTAGGTTTGATTATCCTGTCACTTGTACTTATTTTAGACTGATGTCACTCCACTGAAGTTAGTGGAGTTAGTTTACACTAGTAAAAGTGGAAGAAGACTCAAGCCCACCGTGCTTACAATGCTGATTAATCTAAATTGCAGTATCGCACTGCATAAACATGTGGTTACAATGCTGATTAATCTAAATTGCAGTATCGCACTGCATAAACATATGATATATATTAACCTAATTCATTTCATGCATTTTGTTCAAACATACACCACCTAACCCCTTCAAAACAAACATTTTAACTGGTCATTAAAACTACATCACAGATCTGAATGTAATTTATCTTTTAATTTATCTATAGTAGTTTAGGAGATTATTACAGTTTATGGATTTTTTTAGCATCCATATTGCCATAGCTATAGTTCTTCCTCTTCATTGGGGATGAAATTCACCATTCCTACACGGAGCCCAAATAAATCAGACTTCGTGCTGGAGAGTCTACAGGGATAGGGTAAATTCAACCTTTAAACCATAAGCAGGCTGTGATCATTATTTCAATCCATGGACTTGAATAGTGTCTCGTTGTCCACACATAGGGTTTTGTCACTAGCTCCACATAAACATGGATACAGTAATCCAAGGACCCTCTTTCCAGGCTTCCCACCTCAAGTGGCACAGGTTATTCAAAGGCCCATCTGCACAGCTGCTTCATCCACACCCCTCCTTTGTCAAGGTCTAAAGGCTCCATCTTGCAAGATTCCAAGATCCTACATTAAAATACTCATGTGCATGAAGCTGAGCAAGTGCTTTACAGAATTAGGGCCAGAGTGTTTGACATCTTGCAGGATCATGCCCTACAATCAGATTTTGTGGCATAGGTGTCTTTTACTCACATTAACTAATGCTTAAACAATGAAACTACCTGTGTGAGTAAGTAGATCAGCGTTACTAAAAGTTGCAAACTCTGTCCTTATGTTATTAATGCATTCATAGATTCATACTTTAAAGTCAGATGGGACCATTATGATCATCTAGTCTGACATCCTGCATAACATAGGCCACAGAATTTTATCAAGTCTGTGACTTATAGTTACAGTTGCAATGGAGCATACTTTAAGCCAGAATCCACCACATCCCCTAAATAAGTCATTCCAGTGGTTAATTGCCTTCACTGTTTTACCCTTTTTCCTAGTCTGAATTCATCTAATTCTCAGCTTCCACTCACTGGATCGTGTTATGCTTTGTCTGCTAAATTCTCTCCTCATGGATGTACTTGTAGACCACTATCACGTCTCCTCTGATCCATCTCTCTCTCTGACATGGTAGTGCCACTCTTAATAGTTGTGTGAACAGATCTTACAGGCTGCTCCCAAACAATGACAGAGTTAATTTACTATATAAACTCTTGGGTAATTTTTTCCAGAAAATATTTTATACTTTCTTTAAGGACCTAGTCCTGAACGCCTTATTCAAACAAAACTCCCGTTGAAGTCAGAATCAGGCCTTACAGGGTATTAACAGAGATGTGCAAAATTCTACCTGCCCCTTTCCTGGAGAGAAGTAATTTTTTTCTTTGATAAGTGAATAGAGTGTGTTAAGTTCTTCATAATCATCATGCTAAGGGTTGGTCAAGTAGATTTTTTTTAACATAGACTGGTAAATTTTCATAGCAATTTTACAAGGATGTGAAATAAAGTTTTAAATTATTTTTAAATGTATCCATCATTGTATTATGATTTTAGGTGTGAATGGAAGTCAAAGTCCATACATTTTCAATATTAGCTGCATATTAGATTTAAAATGTCAAATGTATAGAATCAAGAGAATCTTCTTCCCCTTGCTTATACAGTTCTACTAACTACATTTCTAGTAGAAATGGCTATTGACACTTCATAATGACAATGCAATGAAAATATATGAAAAGATTATGAAAAAATACAATAGGAAAACTAGAATATAAAAGTAAAAAAAAGAAATACCTGAGCATTTATTTTTAAAGAACAAAATTCTACTTAAATCTTGAGGAAATATTAATGAAATTCAGAAAGATCCCTAGCCTGCTCCCATTGAAGTCAACCCCTTTGGCTTCAATGAGAACAGAATCTGACTGAAGTGTTTGGTAAGCAGCGACAGAAAGCAGACTTTTCTGGAGAAATGACCCACATTTTTAATGTAAAAAGGTGGACATCATTTTAACTAAATTCCTTAATTTTATACTAATTTAAATATGCTTTTGATCATTAAACTTGCCCTAATGTTTGTGTAATGGAACCATCTATTATAATAAAATATTTCAAGAATACCTAGCACATCAGCAGATCTGGTTTGGTAAGATAAGCAAGTTCAGTGTAGCAATACAGGAAACCCAAACAGACATAATGGCTTTATCTGTGTATAGAAATACATGAAAGGTAGAGGCTCATTTTTCCTTGACATGTTATTGTGTTAATGTTTGGGGTTTGTTTGTTTGTTTTGGTTTATATTGGTTGGTTGGTTATTTTTGGAAGGGAACAGAGGAAGAAACCTAGTCCTATAATGGGATATTGTAAATTCAAGCAGTGTAGTAAACAATTTAATATAATTCTTTATTTTTATATACACTTTAAATTCAGTTATGTTAATCTGACAAGTTAACTGCATATTCAACACTGTTATAAACTATATTAAATCTGCAGCATCACAGATGTATGGATGTAAAATAGTTTGCAAAAGAACAAAATTTACTACTACTTTTAATGTATAGAAAACAAAATACAAACGTACTGACACTGTATCCAAATGAACATTGCTTAATAGGCTCAAAGTTTATGAATGGCATTTTGTAGCGAATTACAACCAAAAATTAAAATTTCAACCAGTTTGACATAAAACAATTCAATATGACTACTAAATAATTAATGTTGTCAATGCTGTACATACATTTTAAATTATGAATTTGTCTTTACATTTTATACATTACTAATTTTACAAATAGAACTTGAAGACCACTTTGTCCAATTTGTATTTATATACATGTTGCTGAACAAAATGCTTTGAAGTAATAATGTTTTTAGGATTTTACATAGACAATCTCTATTGTGCAGGTTGTACTTTTTCCATATATAATGAGCGGACTACTGGGAGATTGGGCATATTTTAAACTAAATTTAAACAATATTAAAATATTTGGCCCTATCTGTCTAACACTTTACTTTCAAAAGTAAAATTTATGCTCCCTAATCTCAGGTATATTATGTGCACTTAAAAAAAAAATCCGATTCTGGTATCTATAATCATGGACAATTTCCCCCACTCCCCATTTTTATACCTTTCTTCCCTCAGCCCCAGGTCAGGATCCTGCGACCCTTACTCACCTGAGCAGTATCATTGCAGTAAGTGGGACTATTCTGGTGACGAATAGTCACCAATTGTTCAAGAGTTGCAGAATCAGGTCCCTGGTTTGTTATAACAGAGTTAATATCATTTGGAACTCAAAAGTAATTTATAACTCTTCTAGCTATGTTATTAATAATTTTATCCCAAATTGGTCTTCTACATTTCTCTGCAGAAATTCTGCACAAATTAAAATAAATGATCAAAAGGTCACTTTTTGAGAGCAATAAATGCTTAAAATGTTTCATAATTTATATGCAGTTGTGGCCCAAGTACAAGGAAACTGTTTTACAACTAAAGTAAGTATTTGTACCAGTTTCTACACAATCTTGCACTTTTAAATGGGCAACTCCCCCCATTCACATGGTTTTGAGTTCCATAATTACAGAACATATTAATGTGAAATGTACATTGCAGCAGTATACTTCCTATAGCTATATTACTTTTGAAAACTCCTAGCTAAAATCTGGGCAGCTCCTCCCAGCTAGGGAAGGTTCTGGTTGGAGAGGATAGCCAAAATAGGGTGATGACACCAAAAATCCAGCTGGTTGAGTTAGGTGGATAGAATGGCCTGTTTGTAAGCAGCCAGATGTGTAAGGTGAAGGTGGAGATGCCACTAAACACCCAGATTCTGCTCTGGCGAAAGAGAACCTGCGAATGGAGCCTCCAGTAGAACTTGAACTGGTTGCAGTACTGGACTGTCTGGATGGTGTCCGGAGGCTAGTGGAGGTCAGGATCATTGGAAGAGTCTCGATCTGATAGCTTCGAAGAGAGAATCGTATTGGCGGCTGTGATGTTTGTTTAGGTCTTAAACACGTGCAACAATAAACAGCTACCAACGAACCCACAATGATGAAGGCGATGAATATGGATCCAACAATAAGGAAAGGAACGTAGATCGGCTCTGAATAAAAAATAAATAAGTACATTTTAACACTCCAAAATAGCTTGTCTATTTAACTCTGCAAAGTTTTCAAAGTCCCACATTATTCTTAAACTCTCATCAACCACCGCGCTTGTTAAAAGATGCTCCTTTCATGTACTACAAATAAACTGTGAACTGCGTGCCAAGGGTACGTATGATCTGATACTAAGTAACAACTTCACTGATCCTGCAATAAGCTGCATTTGATTTTTAATTCGCCTTTAGTTCCTACATGCAGAAATTAGAATTATTTGCTGCTGACAATTTTAATAGAATAATTCTTATTGTTACTATTTTAGATCAGTATTGGAATTCTGAAGGGTTATTCCGCATTGTCCTGTTTGCTGCATGAGTATAGTTTTCAGTGGTCGGTTTGGTTTTCCCTTTGTTCAGGAATCATGCTCCACTTTTCCAACAAGTTTTTTTGGAAATTTACTCACTGCTGCAAATTATAACTGCCTGAAACTATGGACTAACTCTTCAAAAGCTCCAGTCCCTTTTTAGGGGGCAAGTAACTTCAGAGTGAATGATTTTCAGCAAAATATCTTTCAACGCTTTTTCTGGATTTCTTGTTTGATTGATATATAAAATATTATATTCCTGGAACCCTCCTCTGATTCTTTTTACAGTTAAAGTTAGTCATGTCTGGAAAGGAAAAATAAAACGGCCACGGATATGGCTTTCCAGCTGCTCGTTCATTGCAAGGTAACTAGCTCTTTAATATAAACTTGCCTTTTGATTTTATGGGATTTAAATGTTTGGGCCACTTCTAAGTTGTGGGAGTGATTAAAGCAAACCCGTATGGCCAGCAGCTGTTGGCTAGTTCCCCACAGATTTGAACAATCCTGACACGCTCTTCAGGGGAGCCCGGCATTCATTCGGCTGAAGGCCGCGGGTTTTATTTTCGCCCAGGATGCTCCAGCAACACCTTTGACCAGTTACGAAGTATAAAAATAACCCGCCTCTGCCCGTCCTCCGCGCAGCCAAGGACCTGGTAACGAGGTTTCCCGTTTGGCGGCACAAAAGCCCAACTAGCGCCGCTAGCTGAGCCCCGAGCTGGCTGCCCGGCCCCGGCTCTCGGAGACGTGCGTGGCCGGGGCTGCGCCAGACGGCGGCCCCCCAGCTCGGCCGAGCCTATCGCAAGAGCCCACCCAGCGGCGGGGAGCGGGCGGTGGGTGGCCCAGGCCGCTGCTGGGAAGGGCGGTCTGCCCCTGCCTGGACACGGGCGCCGCAGGGAGCCCCAGCACCCCGGCGAGCCCTGCCTCCAAAGCAGCTCGCGTGGCCCGTGGGGCGCTGCCGCCGAGCCGTCAGGGAGGAGCCGGACTCAGCCCCATGCCAGTCTCGCCCTTCACCTGCCGCCGCCACATGCCCGGCCGCCCAGAGCCTCACGCGCTTCCCAGGGAAGTTGGCGGAAACTTTCTCTGCCCTGCCGCGTCTAGCGCGGAGTGCGGGGTTCGTCCCGAGCAGGCCGCCCGCAGCAGCGAGGGGCTGGGGCTGGGGCGGGAGGGGATCGCACTCCGCAGCGACTGGCCGCGCTGGCTCGGCGAACAGCCGCAGCTCACCGCCCGCGAGCCACCTCGGGCGGTATCGCCCTGCCCGCTGCTGGTCCCTAGCGCAGGCTCCAGGCTCGGCCACGCGCCAGTCCTGCGCAGCAGCTGGAGCGTCAGGCCCCGGGCAAGAGGAGCCCGCAGGCAGGCGGGCGGGCCGGACACTCACGAGCTGTCACCCCCGGGTTCTGCGGCTCGCGGTCGTTGGTGCAGCCGCCCTGCTCCAGCCGGGCCTCGGCGGCGGCGCAGCAGTAGCGCAGGGCGCAGGAGCCACAGCAGATGGTGGCGTCCGGCGTGTCGAAGTCCTCCGGGCACTGGAAGCCCTCGTGGTAGCGGCCGTGCCCGTCCACCCAACCGTGGCAATACTCGCCCCCCGCCGGCTGGGCGGACGCGCCCCAGCCCAGGAAGCCCAGCAGCAGGTAGCGCAGCAGCAGCCCCCGGTCCCCCATGGCGGCGGCAGCGGGACCCGCTCCCGGCTCAGCCCAGGCTCGACGCCCGACTCCCCGCCTCACGGCCGCGGCAGCGACTTCTGCTCGCGGCCACATCCCAGGCGGCGCCCGGCGGGCGAGGCTAGCGGGGCTGCCCCCGCCGGCAGCGCTGGACGCTCACACGGGCTGCTGCTGCGCCGCTCCCCGCCGGGCTCATCGCGGCCCCCGGCGCACCGCGCCCATGGGGGGCCGGGGGAGGCGGCTCTCCTGAGCGCAGCCCCCCCTTGCTGGGAGAGAGCCCGCCGGAGGGGAGGGCGCTGAGCTCCCGGTCCCTGCTCGCCTCTCAGCCCTGACTGTCTGGGGGAGCAGCCGGAGCCGCGCGAGGAGCCCCGCCTGCCTGGGATTTCTCCAGATCCCCTCCCAATCCCCCCGTTACATGCAGTGTTGCCAATTTAGTCATTGGTTGGAAATTTGAATTGACATTGAAACATTAATACACGCTTTAAAAGCATATACAGTATATGAAGAAATACTTGTGCCTGAGAAAGTCATAATGGGTTAGTAAAGTCTAAACAAAGACTAGCTGCCTCATACAGCTGTTATTTATGACAATGTCAGCACACTTGTTTCAGCTCTATTAGCCTACCTAATAATTTCAAATTATTATTTATAAGCAAGGTCTGAATGAGTTCTTCCCTGACAGCTAGTGATGAGCCAGCAGTGGGTGGAAAGGCTTCAGGACCAGACTGTATTTACATGAACACACCTACTCTGCCTAGGTATCCGGCACACAGAGCTGTGCTGCTTAAGTGAACAATTTTGGCTGGTGCTGGGTTACAAATCACTTAAGCATTAAATGTGGGGATCATTAAATGTTGTTATTCCCTCAGTGCTTAATTTGTGCTAGGGCTTGCCAAGGCTCAGCCCCAGCACTTCTAGGCTTGGCAGTTCATAGCCCTGGGACCTCTGGGCTTGTCACGTCAGTTACGAAAGTAACAAACTTGCTTGAGCCCTGGCACCTCTTTCATTCCAAATTAAGCACTGGTCACCCTCAACTGAACTGCCCTCCCTAAGCAGGTTGGATGCCATGTCCTAGTGCAGAGAGAGAGGGTGGGGTACAGGTGTTTTGCTTGGTGGTGTGGGATCTGCCTAAGAGTCACAGGCACTATTTGACCTTCCCCTCTCTCCTGTTTAGAGAGAGAGCTCATTAGGCTTCATAGAGAGTCTTTTGGTTTGTTAAATGGTCACTAGAGCTGAAATCACTGATAATCAGGTCTAAGTGCTTAGACCTGCTGTGGGACAGTGTTTCTGTGGAAGAGATGGCCTAGCCTGCTCTAGCAGCAAGATTCCCTCACTGGGAGCTGAAATCACTGAGAGCTGGGTGGAACCTCGAGAGACTGACTCGCAGTGGTCACAGTGGCAGGTAGCAGCAGAAGGTGACGGTGCAGGGACATTGGGGATGGAGGGGTCGAGTGAATGGTGGCATGACAAATGACAGTGGCCAGAGCATTGGACTATGTTTTAGTGACTCTGCTCCAGAATGCTAGCTTTGTGACTGGGAAACTTATATAAATATACTGGTACATTTCCTAGTAGGCCAAGATTTTTAAAATGCATTATTTGCCAAGGTCATTATTTCACATCATTGTTCTCTCAAGAGGTCATTATCTTGGGGAGTTTCTGTACTAAACTTTTTTATTATTATAATTATTTTTTGTGTAAAAATGGCCTTATTGTGTCAGACCAACATGCAGAAAGCCTTATAAGCCAGTCACTGTCAAAGCCAATTTTAGAAGAATTTAAACTTAATGAGGCTGTTAAGAATGCTGGAGACACAACTCAGTTTATAGAAAAAAGAACGAACAGTACTTGAGGCACCTTAGAGACTAGCAAGCAAGAGATACCACTCACTACAAACTGGAGGCCAATGTTAAGTTCATTGTCATTTGTTAATTCTGAAGTTGGACAGAAATTAAAAGATACAGTGACTAGAGTGAAATCCCTGCAAGCTGCGTGGACACTTTTCAAAGACACCATAATAGAGGCCCAACTTAAATGTACCCTAAATTTAAAAACACAGTAAAAGAACTAAAAGAGAGCCACTGTGACTTAACAACCATGTAAAAGAAGCAGTGGGAGATAAAAAGGCATCTTTTAAAAAGTGGAAGTCAAATCCTAGTGAGGTAAATTGAAAGGAGCATAAACACTGCCAAATTAAGTGTAAAAATGTAGTAAGAAAAGCCAAAAAGGAGTTTGACGAACAGCTAGTGAAAAACTCAAAAGGTAATAAAATGTTTTTTAAGTACACTTCTACCCCGATGTAACGTGACCCGACATAACATGAATTTGGATATAACACGGTAAGCAACGTTCCGGGGGGCGGGGGAGGGACCTGCGCACTCCGATGGATCAAAGCAAGTTCGATATAACGCGGTTTCACCTATAACGCGGTAAGATTTTTTTGGCTCCTGAGGACAGCGTTATATTAGGGTAGAGGAGTATATCAGAAGCAGGAAGCCTGCTAAACAACCAGTGGGGCCCCTGGACGATCGAGATATAAAAGGAGCACTTAAAGACAATAAAGTCATTTTGGAGAAACTAAGGCTATGTCCTCACTACGGGGGGGGGGGAGGGGGTCGATTTAAGATACACAAATTCAGCTACGCAAATAGCGTAGCTGAATTCAACGTATCGGAGCCGACTTTCCTCGCTGTGAGGACGGCGGCAAATCGACCTCCGCGGCTCCCCCGTCGACGGCACTTACTCCTACCTCCGCTGGTGGAGTACAAGCGTCGATTCAGGGATCGATTGTCGCGTCCCGACGAGATGCGATAATTCAATCCCCGAGAGATCGATTTCTACCCGCCGATTCAGGTGGGTAGTGTAGACCTGCCCTAAATGAATTCTTTGCTTCGGTCTTCACGGCTGAGGATGTTAGGGAGATTACCAAACCTGAGCTGGCTTTTGTAGGTGACAAATCTGAGGAATTGTCACAGATTGAGGTGTCACTAGAGGAGGTTTTGGAATTAATTGGTAAACTTAACAGTAATAAGTCACTGGGACCAGATGGCATTCACCCAAGTGTTCTGAAAGAACTCAAACGTGAAATTGCGGAACTACTAACTATGGTTTGTAACCTGTCCTTTAAATCCGCTTCTGTACCCAATGACTGGAAGATAGCTAATGTAACGGCAATATTTAAAAACGGCTCTAGAGGTGATCCTGGCAATTACAGACCAGTAAGTCTAACGTCAGTACCGGGCAATTTAGTTGAAAAAATCATAAAGAATAAAATTGTCAGACACATAGAAGAACATAAATTGTTGGGCAAAAGTCAACATGGTTTCTGTAAAGGGAAATCATGTCTTACTAATCTATTAGAGTTCTTTGAAGGGGTCAACAAACATGTTGACAAGGGGGATCCAGTGGACATAGTGTACTTAGATTTCCAGAAAGCCTTTGACAAGGTCCCTCACCAAAGGCTCTTACGTAAACTAAGTTGTCATGGGATAAGAGGGAAGATCCTTTCATGGATTGAGAACTGGTTAAAAGACAGGGAACAAAGGGTAAGAATAAATGGTACATTTTCAGAATGGAGAGTGGTAACTAGTGGTGTTCAACAAGGGGCAGTCCTAGGACCAATCCTATTCAATTTATTCATAAATGATCTGGAGAAAGGGGTAAAAAGTGAGGTGGCAAAATTTGCAGATGATACTAAACTGCTCAAGATAGTTAAGACCAAAGCAGACTGTGAAGAACTTCAAAAAGATCTCACAAAACTAAGTGATTGGGCAACAAAATGGCAAATGAAATTTAATGGGAATAAATGTAAAGTAATGCACATTGGGAAAAATAATCCCAACTATACATACAATATGATGGGGGCTAATTTAGCTACAACTAATCAGGAAAAAGATCTTGGAGTCATCATGGATAGTTCTCTGAAGACGTCCACGCAGTGTGCAGTGGCAGTCAAAAAAGTGAACAGGGAAATAAAAACAACCCAGGAAACTACAGACCAGTTAGTTTAACTTCTGTGCCAGGGAAGATAACGGAGCAAGTAATTAAGGAAATCATCTGCAAACACTTGGAAGGTGGTAAGGTGATAGGGAACAGCCAGCATGGATTTGTAAAGAACAAATCATGTCAAACCAATCTGATAGCTTTCTTTGATAGGATAACGAGTCTTGTGGATAAGGAAGAAGCTGTGGATGTGGTATACCTAGACTTTAGTAAGGCATTTGATACGGTTTGCATGATATTCTTATCGACAAACTAGGCAAATACTACTATAAGATGGGTGCATAACTGGCTGGATAACCGTACTCAGAGAGTTGTTAGTAATAGTTCCCAATCCTGCTGGAAAGGCATAATGAGTGGTGTTCTGCAGGGGTCTGTCTGTTTTGGGACCGGCTCTGTTAATGAAGATTAATATCTTCATTAATGACTTAGATATTGGCATAGAAAGTACGCTTATTAAGTTTGCGGATGATAGCAAA